GAAGCATGTCAGATAATAATTTAATCGGCTCTGATTAAACAACAACTTCTGATTCGATGCGCAAAATGTAGCATCCAAACAAACAAGCCGGCTGATGAGACGTCACGTCTTTTACTGTGCATGCGTGTCACATCAGTGCTGTGTAGCGTTCACACAGGGGTCTGATGCAGGTCACATTTAAAATGTAATGTGAACGTTCACACAAAAAGATCGGATTTTTTCAAAAAATCGGAACTGAGCATTAAGACCTGCAGTGTGAACGTAGCCAAAGAAATAGCTAGGAAAGATGTCTAGTGGTGAGGGAAGAATTTTTATTTCATTTTTGTATAAAAGATTTATTTTCCTAATGTTAAAGGAAACTGTTTTGTTACTGCTTTATTATTGGCAAGCAAAAATATTGATTGTTGTAATAAAGTATTTTGTTGTCACGTACAATGTTTGGCAAAATTCTATCCTAGAGCTTTTGGATTTTTTCAAATTATGAAGCTTAAAAAGTATCTATCTATATCGGTGATACTGGCCCTGTATTTACTTGGTATCGGATCGATACCAAAATTCCCAGTATCGCCCACCTCTAACGGCCATATTCCAAGAGGACAATGCCAGGATTCATGGGGCTCTTATTGTGAAAGAGTGGTTCAGGGAGCATGAGACATCATTTTCACACATGGATTGGCTCCACAGAGTCCACAGAGAATCTTTAGGATGTGCTGGAGAAGGTCAGACTCTACCATCATCAATGGAAGATCTTGGTGAAAAGTTAATGCAGAAGCTCATCCAAAAATGCCAGAGAATGTGTCGTAATCAAAGCCAAACGCGGTCCAAGAAATATTAAGAGTGTGAACCTTTTTTTTTTTTTATTGTGGGTGACCTTTCTTTTGGCCAGACAGGGTATAAATGGATGGAGAAGTGGTCTTGTGTGTAGAAATCCACTGATCAGTTAGCTCATCGGGTAAGATGTTTGTTCTAAAGCCCATTTCAATCAATCTGAACTATCCTGTTAAGTTGCAAATAAAACAGTTATATTATGAAGGAAAATGCACAAAGATTTGGAACATGCAGTCCAGCTTACATGCAACTGAGTGTTCAGTCCGCTATCAAGCAATTTTTAAATTCCTTCACTGCTCTTGTTTAACACCTAAAATAAACAATCTGATAACAGAAGAATGTCATGTGACTCTTTGTAAATGTTCTCATAAAGCTGACAGATGCATTCCTGCGCAGCTGTGTCCTCCAGCCTTTCTTCAGTCTGCTAACTTTTACCATTAGCTGAGCATCACTGAGAAAGGTAAACTAAGAATGAACTGGACTTTGATCGCCTAGCTTTCAGTTTTCTTTACAACCCAAAGTATGGCTTTTCTCCACATCTGTCACTGAACAGACGTTTGCAGCACTGTCAAACTTTTAATGTAGGTTTGTTTTTATCAGTCTCCCAGCTTTATTTGATAAACAAAAGTTTTAACATCTCCCTGCTAAAATAAGAGATTAGTTGGTCACTATGAAAAAGGTGTACAAAAACAAGTACAACCTCCAATTATACAAAATGTTTGTCTCGTTGAAGGATTGCTTAATTTCAACAAGAAAACTTTATAATGAATATGCAAATTTGAATTATTTTCAAGTGAACTTTAAAAGACATGCTTACAAATAGTTTGTGCTGCTTCTCTGTAACCAGGTGAGATCTTTACTCTCCCAATATATTAGTTCTTTGAGTTTTATTCAACAGCCAAAAGTTCACTTTGGTTATCTTAATTAATATTTTTTAAAAGAAAAAGGGGTTGTAATACATAACACAGCCCAGCATTTGCAGGTTATATTCTCAGTATTTACCCAGTATACACTGTACATAGTATTTACCTAAATGTACTTGGTATATACATTAAAGTTACCAGAATATACCTACCCAGTACATAAATTGTAATTACCAGTATGTGCCTGCCGAGTACGTACATGGTATTTACAGAAATGTACTTGGTAAATGCACAAAAGTTACCAGAATGTACCTACTCAGTACATACAAGATCTTTACCTAAATGTACCTAAATATATAGTACATAAAAGGTACAAGAATATACCTACCCACTACATAAACGGTATTTACCAAAATGTACCTGTATGTACATAAAACTTACCAGTATGTACCTGCCCAGTACATGCATAGTATTTACTGAAATGTACCTGGTATGTACATAAAAATACCAGAATGTACCTACCCAGTACATACATGATATTTACCAAAATGTACCTGGTATGTACATAAAATTACCAGTATGTACCTAGTAATTATCCAGTATATTCTGATATGTACCTAGTACTAACCAGGTGCGTGCCATGCATGACTAAATACCTTGTTCAAATACTGTATGTACCAGGTACCAACCTGGTACATCAGTACATACCTGGTATATAGGACTTTCCTGGTACTTAGCTTATTCTTACTGTATGTACAAGTTTACAGTATGCATATACGGTATACTTTCAAAGTATGTCGCTTGTATTTATTGTGTATGTATACATCCCCGTACTTATTGACAATATTTTGTGTCATCATAATCTGGTAAAATAGGGAAAACATTACAAAGCCTACTGAGTATGTACCCACAAAGTACTGGGCTGTACTATATAGTGCTATCAAAAAAAAAGGCAAATAAAAATGTAAAAATATTTTAAAATAGCCCTATGTAAGTTTTTTTGTTAATCAAAATGAACAAGATTTTCACCAACAATAAAAATCCACTAAAACATCTGCATGAACCACAATTGTAAAAGATTTATCTGCAAGTCAGTTCTCAAATCAGGGCATATTCATATTTGTACCACTGTAAAAGGGAAGGGATTTTATCATGTGCCACAGCATCCCAGAATAAAATGTATAGACTGTGGGCAGGCCCAAGAATCATGCTTGTTGCATTCTCTTCTCTCTCCAACAATGGATGCACTTTTGGTTTTGCATTTTGAATGATAGGGCAGTAATGAGTTCCTCCCAGTTTTTAGCTTTTTATATGTTTAGCAGCTGTTTCGAGGGGAGCCTTTAGAGAAGAGATTTAGAAATAACTGCAGCAGCCTGACTTCTCCTTCTGTGCCTCAATATACTCGTGAATCTGGAACTTGGGTTCATTGGGGTGCTGGGCCGCTCGGTGCTTCAATTCCCTAGAGAACACAAATAGAAATTACTTGTACACAGTTTTAAAAGCAGCAGCACACATGCCATGTCATTCACATGTAGCTTTTGAAAGATTTAGAGAAGATACCAATTGTATTAAATCTGTATGCCCCCATTAATGTAGGAAATTTGCAAAACCTTTCAAAAGAAATCCACACCACACATGCATTCTCAGCACAGAGTTCAGCTCATTCCTGGTGTGTATCAGACTCTTGTCTCTGATTCAGGATCCCAAGGTGCAGTCATGGAAAGGAGGGTGTCTGGTTTGGGTACCTCAGGGTCTTGTGTGCAGTTCTACTGTTTTTTCAGACTATGATGTTCAGCATACACTGGGACAGTTGACAGCAGAGTGTGGAGAAGCCTTCAGGGGGTTAGGGGGTTAGTCTTTGACTAAGTTGAGACCGTTATTTGTCAGTTATTTGGGAGTCTTGTTCGTGAGTGATGGTAGGATGGTGCGGGAGATGGACCAACAGATCCAGGTATCCTCTGCAGTAATGAGGATGTTGCTCTGGCCTGTTGGTTGAAAAAGATACAATGCAGAACTGAGAGTTAAGGCTCTGGATTTACTGGTCCGTGTTCCACCCTCACCTATGGTCATGAGGTTTGAATCATGACCAAAAGGACGAGAAACAAGTGACTGAAAATATTTTAAAGAGGGAAATGTGTCTTCTAACAGTCGAAAGGGAAGGATTATGCTGGAAATTTCCAGGCAAAATGTTTCTGAAGCGTTTTTCTGTTTTCTTTGCAGCCAGCATAAACACAAGATGAACCGGAACTCATGATTGAACTGCTCAAGACACCAGTTAAAGCAAAAACAAACTGGTTTTGTTGTTATCATAACTGAATGAATGAATCTCTGGTTCTAGCTTTGCGTACCAGAACTGTGAAACTGGGGGGAGGAGGCAGCGGTCTGTCATGGCAGCCTACATATGCTTTTACTATAACCTGTGGACATATCACAGTAGGTCTGAGAATACTTTGGTGTCCTGGATGAACTGAAGGAGGCAGCTAGGGAGAGGGATGGGGGCGGGTCTGGGGATGTCTAAGTTGTTACTCCCATGACTAGCTCTAAAACAAGTGGCGGAAGATGAATGGATGGATGGATGATGGATGGATGCTTTTTCAGTATACAAGAGGAAAGTCCACTTTTCAAGGTTTTTGACATCTAATAAGTATGTGTCCAGATGGTAAAACATCTTACAACCTGATTTTAAAATTTAGGGTGTATTCACACCAGGAAAGTCCTTTGGTCCACTTGTTTGGTCTGGATTAAAAGCAGACTTTTATTTTTTTCGTTTGGCGCTGTTTGCATTCACTGCATTGAGCTTTTTTGCAAGCTGACTATAATTTATACACAAAGCCACACTGATGATGACCTTTGCTTCTATTGTACAAAAATGATGGGGACAGGACAGCACAGACCTGGAAATAAAGATGGTGTTAATACAACTACGATACCATTTAGCATTTTCATAATGATATACTTATAATTTTGGGACAGTGTTGGCAAATGTGTGCCACAACACAAAGAAGACAAGATGCTCTGTGTGTTGACTCACAACAGGGGGGAAACAAACTCTGGTCCTTTTTAAAATGAATCAAATGGGTCAGGTGTGAATGCACCTATAGTAACTTTGCTTAACAACATCAGATTATTACTAAAAAAGTTAAAGATTACTTTATATAAATGAACACATAAACTAAAACCATTCTGACCAAAGTGATGCACATGTAGAATGAGTGGTGAAAGACCGTCATACTTAGCCACAGCTGTGAAGGCCAGGTCTACGTTGACTCCTGTCTTTGCACTTGTTTCCATGAAAGGAACTGAATACTCCTACAGCCATGAAGAGAATAATCAGCAGTGAGTGAAACAGTGCCCACACTTGTTGTGTTGTGTATATTTGTGTATACTCACTCTGGCCAACCTTTCTCCTTCATCTCTCCTGATTGCTCTGTCACTGTTCATGTCAGCCTAAAACAGCAACACAGTCTTTAGGGATCAGGACTGAATGGATACATGCTGTCTGTGTTCCTCTCTGGTAACTTATAAATACAAAAAAAAATTGGTCCAAAAATACAAATGCATATATTTTATTTATTTTTATATCTGTTGTTTTTTTAATAAACTGTTACAAATACAAAGTAGCAATGATGAGCGTTAAAGAAGTCTCCTTCACCTTGTTGCCCAACAACATGATGACTACATCACTCTGTGCATACTCATGGATCTCTGTTAGCCATGCCTGCAGGACAAAATGTAGATATTCGGAAGTTATAATGCACACACAGAAGGGAAAATATTAGTAAAGTTGGCCAAAAGATAGTTTTGTAGAACTTAAACCTTAACAGGTATTATATTTTATTACATTCAGTTTAGTGGAGTCATTCCATGAGAGAAATCCCACCAATGACACAACAAAAATTACAACTAAGTGAAGAAATTTATTGGCTTTCAAAAAGCACTACAAATTACAACTAAGTGAAGAAATTTATTGGCTTTCAAAAAGCACTACACACTTTATAGCCTTTTCTTAGGTGAAACCTGATATAGTTTTGTAAACCATTGTGTGAATATGTTTGTGATTTTACTGGTAATTTTATGTACAGACTGGTCTGGATGGCTAGACAATATGGTCACCCAGAGTAGGAAGTATAGAAGTAGCTACATGCCTGAACATGTATTCAACACATGACTGAAACATTAACCAAAACAGGAATTATGTCAAAAGGATTTGAGCCTGGAAATAGGATAGGGCTTCCTCCTTCAGAAGCCGTGTTTCCATCCAATTTTAATTCAAATTTTGAGCAAATTTTGAAATTTTTGCAAAAATAAAAAAATGAAGAAATGCGAATCAGATGTGTTTCCATCAACTGGCTTGAAGTGAATCTATTATGTCAGACACATGCATGTAGTAAACAGGAAGTAAAAGTCACAAACTTGCAGGGCCCATACATCTCAGGACAATGAGAGAAGTTATCAGGTACGTGTTGCTACTATCAGGAAAGTTGTAATTATTCTGTCATATCAACTAGTTCTGAGGATATTACATGCTGTCTGGAGACTCAGAGAAAGAAATGCAATTCTCTTCACGTTACTGGAATAACTGAGAGGCTGACAGCTGCCAGTCTGGTACCGATCAGACAGACAGCAGGAACAGCTGATCAACCATGTTTGCTACGTCAGAACTTTTTCAGAAAATATGTTTCCAATTGCGCATTAACTCTTTTTCAAAAAAACCCAAAACCACCTCAAGTGAGCGTATAAACTTTTTTTGCGAATTAGAGGAAGTTTTTACAAATCATGCTGTTTCCATTCACCTTTTCTGAGGCAATACTTCAAAATGTGTATTAAAAAAACGTTGATGGAGACACGGCTAGTGATGTCAACTTAGTAGGCGGGGTCAAATTTTTTTTTTGCAAAAGTACAAAATTGGTTTAAACATAACAAATTGTCATTAAAATTGGATAAAAAATTACATGGTATTTAGTAATAAAAAGAAAACAATTGATATTCCATTTATAATGGATGGTGTTGAAATTTGTAGTGTCAATGAGGTGAAGTTTTTGGTGTCATCATTGACAAAAAACTGACATGGAAACCTCATATAAATAACTTGAGAACTAAAATGGCAAAATCTATTGCAGTACTGTATAAAGCAAAGGAGTTATTTAAGGATAAAGCACTATTTACACTATGTAATGCAATAATTGTTCCACATTTGATTTATTGTATAGACGTCTGGGGAAATGCATGTAAAACCATTACTAATCCTATTTTTTATTTTTCAAAAAAAAAGAGCCATAAGAATTATTACAAGAAAGCATTACTATCACCCTTCTAATATATTGTTTCATCAATTAAAATTGTTAAAATTTCATAAGTTGGTTGATTATAACATTCTGCAGGTTATGTAAAAGGCTCATAGGAATGTGTTGCCGTCAAACATCCAATCACATTTTGTTAAGAGGGAAAGCTGCTATAATTTGAAGGGGTTACAAAAGTTTGTTAAACTGAAAATCAGAACAAACTTGAAGGACGGATGCACTTCAGTAAAAGGTATAAGACTATGGAATCATCTGGAGGATGACTTATTAGAGCATTGGATTGGTTAATTACTTTAAGAAAATAATCAAGGAAAAATTGTTAAAGAAATATGAAATTGTTTAATTTGTATTAGTTACTGTCTGATGAGTTAAATTTTTTGTTTTTATTATTTGGTTTATCATTGTGGAGCAGATATAAGAATTTTTTTTCTTCTGCTGCCTTTCATATTATTTTATTTTGTATTGCTTTGTTGTGTGAAATGTTTTGTTTGTTTTTAACACGTTAACACGTATTAAGGTAAACAAACATGCCTAAATTATCGATATCTTTCATGAGTATTAAGTTCCCATCAGAATATTGACAGGCTGAATGATTGTGTATAAATACTGTACTATTCATTTAAATAGTCAGTTTCTAAAGTTTCCAGTTAGAAAGTCTATCCCACACTCACCCTGATGTTGTCAAAGGATGATTTGCTGGTGATGTCATACAAAAGGAGCAAAGCTTTGAAAATAAAATGTGAAACACATAAGTCAAACTGCATACAGCGCACATGCAGGACTTTCACAGCTACGATGGATTTCCTCTCACCATGTGCATCTCTGTAATATGCATGTGTCACACTTCTGAACCGTTCCTGTCCAGCTGTGTCCCAAATCTGCAGCAGAAAACAAATGGGACTAAAGCTGGAAACATACTCCCTGCGAACTGCCGACGTCGGCACGGGTTGTCGCAGTCTAATGACGGAAATTACGTCACCAGGCTTCGCAGCGTCGTGTCGACAGCCCCTTTTGGCACAAGCCCCCGCCTGAACTTTTTGACTCCCCTCCCATGTCGACGGTAATGTGTGATTGGTCTGAACTGAAAGCGCTCTGATGGACACAGCAGAAGAATAAAACAAAAACTCGCTTCTGACTAGAGTAGACTGTTTTGAGCAGTTTTAAAGACAGACAAACCGAGAAAAACTCATGCGTGTTTGTGCTGACAGCACTATGCGCTGCATTTACTTCAACCACTCAGCCAAAAAAATAAAAAGGGGGGGGGACCGACTCGCTCCCCGAGCCGACCAGGAAGCAGAGTTTTATAAAGATAGTCAAACCGTGATAAACTCATGAATGGAGATAAACAGACATAACAGATAAACAGGCACGGAGGAATCTGAAACTGTGGAGCTTTTTAACCAGGACAGATGTGGATAAATACGTCGGTTGAGTGACAAATCTGACTTTTTTTCTGCATTATCGGCTGTTGCGGGGGAACTCCATGCAGTGACGTACAGTATGTTTCAGGGAGGGGGGTTTCCCTAATTTGGTACGGGGGTGTCATAGGGACAATGAAAGGTCTGTGCGAAAACGAACAATCACGTGACCGCGCGTCGACCCGTCGGCGTCAGAGCGAGTATGTTCCCACCTTAACTCCAGCAGGTACAACGCAAACACAGGCAGAGGGCGGAGCAGAGGCTACACACTGACTTTCACACCTACCTGTAGTTTGACCTTTACACCATCGACTGTTACTACTTTATTCTGTGAGGACAAACCAGGGAGACAACAATAGAAAGGTCAGGAACAGTTGTTTTTCTGATCCACAATCACAGTCTACAGTCTGCTACAATAGTCTTTAAAGGCAAAACTGAACCAAGACCAGTTTAGTTCACAGAAAAGGACCTAATAATATAATCTGTTCTTGCACCAAACACATTTTGTCAGGTTCTAGGACAGGGCTGTCAAACTCATTTTCACTGAGGGCCACATGAGTGTTATGGTGGCCCTCGAAGGGCCAGTTGTAATCAAATTTGACCAGTGTTGTATAAAGTACCTCAAAGTGATACTTGAGTAAAAGTACAAGTATCTTATCATAAAAATACTTTGGTAAAATTAAAGTCTTCCCTAAAAATATTACTTGAGTAAAAGTCTTAAAGTATCTGATATTTGTTGTACTTAAGTATCATAAGTAAATTTCTGACACAAAATCTACTTAAGTATTAAAAGTAAAAGTACTGAGTAAAAGTAAGCAGTTAGATTTTCCAAAATGACATTTATTGGGAGGTGACTTCTCCAAAAAATATTTTTTCTAACAGCGTGCAGCTGTGATGGGTTGTGTACAAGTTAATAGGGTGTCAGAAAGGTATATATTTATACTTCTCATCCAACCACAATTAAATTCACTCTATCCAGGAGACATAATTTATCAGGATAGTATTTTTTTAGTAATAACAACTTGGAATAAAATAGGAGTAATGACTTCTTAATTCTTCTACTTCTTACCTTTTAAAAAATGTAGTGAGTAGAAAGTACATATAATTGTGTAAAAATATGAGTAAAAGTAAAAAGTACGCTGAAAAATAATTACTCAAGTAAAGTACAGATGACCAAAATTTCTACTTAAGCACAGTAACAAAGTATTTGTACTTAGTTACTTTACAACTCTGTGTTTAACTTTGACTAAACAGTGTTTTAACACGTCCTCTTTTAAACACTGATAAGAACTAACTGTACGACTGACTAAATCTGAAATAAATACAGAAATATTATTAAAAGTGAAACAGAGTTTTACTCAATGACGAGTTTCTAGTGAGTAGCTATCATCTTAAATTCTGAACTCTCCCATTTTCTGACAGGGAATTCTCATGGATGATCGACATGCATTATGAGAGATGGTAGTATATGGTCAATGCTGACTCTAAAGCAGCTTATTTTCAGACATTAATACTGTGCTATCCAACTAAAATGCTCAGTTACTTAAAGCCAACAGGTCAATGGCAGGACAATTATTATTATCTTTCACCGTTTAAATTTATTTTGTTGCATTTAATTGAAGAAATTTAAAGTTAGTAGAGGTTAGTACTGATGTTAAATGCACAATACTATATTCTTAGGTTTTCCTTTTTGTAATGTTGACAGTGTTTAATCTATTATGTTTTGATTGAAATARGTTCAGTTACATGTCCGAAATATGTGACAACACATAATTAAAAGTTGKGATGACATTAGCTGAGGATTTTGTCTGAATACCTGTGATTCAGCCGTAGGTCAGTAGGGGGCGAATGCAGGCAGTGAAGAAGGTGTATAAATACATGAACTTCCTGTTTTTCTGGTAGTGTTGGTTTCCCGTCAGCTTGAGTGACAATAAAACTCACTCAGATCCAGAATTCTGTTGTTGTATAGTTTAATTCCGTCTACAAATCATTTTATTTAACAATTGTGTTTCTAATATCGACTTCAGTTTATTGAATACGAATTTTCTTACAGTTTTGGTGACCCCGACGTCGAACTGAAAGTCGAGTAGTGAGCTGTTGTGGGCGTTGGGCTACTAGACCTAGCGGTGGGAACGCCGGGTCGATGTACGTTCTGGGCGCCAAAAAACAGGTGAGCAAAATCATTTTTTGCTTTCCATCTTGATAAACAAACAGGACTGTGCGGCGATCGGTGTTTCTGCTGACTGGGATGTGTGGCTGAGCGTTGGAACGGTCCCGCTACGTGTTAGCTTTGCTAAGCTAAGACTGTGTGTCGGCTTAGCAAAGGCAGCGTGGTATTCACCAGTAGTCATAACAAACTCGGATTAGTTGGACGGTTAAAAGATGGTTTATAAGCGTATGGACATAACTATCTGTGGGGGTTTGCAACCATACAATAAATTGGGCCCTTTAGATAGTGAAATTTGTGTTTTAATATATTTTTTGGTGCGTGTTGCGTGTAAAAATATTACCTTTTTGTCAGGCCGTTTTATGAGCTCTTTCCGAAAGCCTGAGTGAGTCTTCTATAAAAGACTGCGCTAAAAAGGTGGGGTAAAAAATTACCAATTTATGGTGGGGAGCATGGGCCAGTTAAGATGCCCATAATAAGGAAAAATCCATGAAATGTAATTTGTGATTTCCTGGAGGGGACTTTCGTATGGTTAAAAAAAACCTTAAAGGTAATATACGACGACATTGGGAATAAATCCAGGAGTCAAACTCTTTATATTTCTATCCTTTTTGTGTGATTGTGTGGGGTGGTTCACCATTCAGCAGGCGTCAATTCACACGGATGTGTCATGTATTGATTCAGAATAAAAGTATTCTGTTTTAAGAAGTCTGGCACTGAAGTGACCACTGGTGGATTTCTGTGGGACATCTGTGGGTGGGCAGGTTTTGGGTTTTTGTTTTTCTGTTGTTTTATTTTAGGGTGGCTGCAGCTAGGAGATTGTACAAACAGCAGGAGGTACTGGGGTGGACTGCTGCTAGAGTAGTCTACGTCAAGGTCATCGCCTGCTGGACATTGCGCCAGACTTCCTGTGCTGTGGTCACGTGCATAAATTAAAAATATGTCTGATAAATTTGTAGAAGCTTTGCATAAATTCCAAGATGGGTCTCTGGGGGTGGTGTTGTATCAGACTTTTCAGGTTTATCTTGAAGATGTTGAGTCTAAACATTTAAGGACGGAAAAAGATATTTTTGTTAGGATGTGCCAAGGTTTATTAAATGACGGAGACTTGTCACAGTTTAACATAGCAGCGCCCTCACCTGCAGCAACAGACAGAATTGTTTGTAAATTGGAGCGTTCATGGCAACAGTCCATTATGGCAGATGAAGCCAAAACAGTTTTAAAAGCTAAGATGGCTCCTGAGAAGGAAAGGATTTATAAATATTGGAGACACATTTAGAATAATGAAAGACGTTCTGAACTGCAGCAATAATGGTGAAAACAAGACCTTGATGTCTGACCAAGATGTAACAAAGACTCAGACAACACACTGTGACATGGCTGACGAGGTCGTACGCTCTCAGGGGAGCACCACTGAGACAAAACAAACTGTACAGGCGGCAGCTACAGTTACTGAGACTGAGCAGAAAAAAGAAAACACTGAAACCAGAGGTCCATACAAGGAAGTGGTAAACATGTTGGCAGAAGCTGAAAAACAGATGTCTTTGTTAGGTGAGGAGGACGAACCAGATGAAGGCACAAGTAAAACTTCATCACGCCGGACTGGGACAATGGTAGTGAAAGATAAATGGCCAGAAGACGTTGCATATGCGGTAGTGAAGGGGTTTCTGGAGTTCTGCCCACAGAGAGATGAAGATGGTGTAAGAGCTGCGATGAGTAAGTTTGTGGCTCCGCAGGGGCTCAACAGAAATGAGGGTTTGCAGGCTGACATGGCAGGGAGAGAGGTCTCAGAGTGGTGGGATGATGGGCCACCGCCACCTAGTGGATGCTTGCAGGGAGCTGTGCAGGCGCATGGGGCCAGGCCGGATTCTACAGTTCAGGGGAAGAGAACACACCATAATAGACAGCCGCAGTGGCCACAACACAGAGATAAGAGGCAGGTTAAATCTAATATACGCTCATGTATGGATCAAAAAGAAAAAAATTGTATAGGTCTTCTGGACGGGTTCTTCTCTAATGAAACGTTTCATCTCTCCTCCAAGAGACTTCTTCAGTCTGCGAGTTTCAGGCTAACTTCAGGCTTTTAAGCCCTGCCTCCATGTGACTGATACTCACATCACATGGCTATCGTTGACACCTAATTAACACCTATTGTTAACAGGGGTGGAGTGATACTGCCAATAGCCGCGCTGTAGGAGGAGGACAACTGAAAACGGAGGCCTCCACCTCTGTGTTAAACACTGTGTTAAACACTGTGTTAAACACTGATGCGTTCATAGACTCCCAGGCATTTACATTTTCACCGAACAGGGCAGAAAATGTTAAGAGATTGCTGGACAGACCACACATTCATTTCACGGCAGAGGGAGTGAATGTGGCATGACATGTCAGGACCACATTTGTGCAGATGTGACAAATCAGGAGATGAGAGTACATGACAATGTCTTTAAGGACCCTCTAGATGGAGCTGACATGACATTGTTTACTGATGGACACTCTCACAAGACTGAAGGGGGTGCGCTGATTGCCTCTTTTGCTGTGGTGTCAGAACATCATGGACAGTTTGTGGTGTTGAAGTCAGAGGTCATTAGACAACCAGCGTCAGCTCAGTTAGCTAAAGTAAAAGCAGTGACAGAGGTTTGTAAATTGGCGGCAGGAAAAACAGTTAACATTTACACAGATTCAGACCATGTGCATCGATGTGTCCCCATTGATTTGAGTCATTGGATGAGAAAAGGGTTTATGACTGCTTCGGGACAGCCATCGAGTCACCTGCAACAAATATTAGAGTTGTACTATGCATTGAGACAACCACGGGTAGTGTCAGTTTTGAAATGCAGGGCTCACCAGAAAAGGTGTGATGTGGTAGCAAAAGGGAATTTTCAGGCTGACAGAGCAGCAAAATTGTGTGCTGGTTATGAGAAAAACAGTCAGATGGTTCAGGTGGAAGGAGGCGGTGCTTCTGGTAGTTCTGAGGAGGACATTTTGCAGAAAAAAAATTGATGTTCAGACTATACTGGAGTTGCAAACTAATGCTGCCTTTTCAGAGAAAAAAACTGTGGCAGGACAGAGGGGCCAGACAAGATGCTAAGGGCATCTACAGAAACCATGAGGGAAAGGTTGTGGCTCCTGAAACTCTGGTAAACCTGTTGTGTCAGGAG